CACACACACACACACACTGCTTTATGATCTGAAAGGTCAGGACTGTCCAGCTTTGTGAGTGACCTGTGAGGATGTCAGCACCTGAGGGTAAAGCCACATTGGGATTTTCAACAATAAGTGTAAACAACCGTGACTCGGATTTTTTCTTGTCTTTCTTTTTTTTTCTTTCATTTTTTTTGGACTACTCAACCAAGTGCAGGCAATCGGATCCAGGAATTGAGACACGTGTGCAAATGTGTACAAATGAAGGATGTTTGCACAGGAAATCAAGCACACATGCTTGCACCCAAAAACACACAGTAATGCACACTATCACCTAATTGCACCCACAAATCACGTGCACATTGGTTCTTCTCACCTGTCAGTCGAATAGGCAGCACTTTTTTTAAAAATCTATTTATATTAAAGGCCTGTTTGCTTTCTTAAAGGTTTCTCAGGTATTTCACTTGATTTGAATGCCAAAAAAAGCACCAGTGAAGCCATGTGTGTGTGAGCTGTGCGCTTTAATACGGTTTTTGTAGTGTTTGCATAGCTGTGCTGAATGCAGTGGAGCAGGTTAGTGTGTTGCCCTGTGTGACAGCTTTAAAACATGAATGTAATAATCAAAACAGAAAGAAAGAAAAAGGAATGCACATTTGAGCTCCGTTCAGCTTTTAAGCATCACCCCTGCTACTGGGTGCTGTGACCATTTGCTATGTTCTATTTTTCTTTATGCACTCTCTGTTTTTATGTTGGCCTTTCTAAAGCTATATAATCTGTTAAACAATATGCTAAACAGTAGACAGAAGAAAGCTAAGAGAGAGAAGAAAGCTAAAGGCAAAGCCAAAGGCTGGTCGCAGAATTGCAAAAACAAGAGACTGCATGAAAAAGAGAAAGCTAGGCTCATGTTTGCTTTCTTATTCACATAAATGAGGCATTATGAGCAACAGCAGGACTTCCCTAAAGTGGAATGCAGCACCATTATTGCGGTGAACAAGGAAAAATGTTTGTGTAAGAAAACGGCCTATGATTGAACAATAGCTCTTTGACTGAGGATGACATAAAGCGATCACCTATTTTCTTTGGAAACTCCCACTTATCTGGAGGCTTCTAGAAAAACTTCCCACTTTTAATGCATTCCTCAGGACAGAGGCAGAGGTTAGTCATCACCTAATAATACCCATCGGCTTACAGGTGAGGAGTATTTTTGCAAGAGTCAGTTCATAGTTCAGCAGTGCCATCATCGTCATTATCAGCAATTATCGGTGTGCCGGGATTTTGAAAATGAGACGAACAGCCCATTCTCAGGAAAAGTGCTTTTTTTTAGCCAGAATTTTCCACACAGTGTCACACATCAGCATTTCCTATGAATTCGATTGGCGTCACAATCCTCTTTTTGTTTGGTTTTACTCTAAAACAGAGAATTGAAAGGAGAGAGCAAATAACCAGGTGCACGGCTCATACCTTTTGCTTTCCCCTAAGTTACTGGAAGACGTTTATCACCATGGTTTTTATGTGTGTGTGTGTTTTTAACCTGAGACATTCTTTCAATTTCAAACCTGTCAAATGTATCTTCACTTTAGTTTCAGATAGTTTCCAGAGCGAAACATCTTATTTCAGTTTAGTTTTTATTGTTTGAAAATTATTTGTTTTGGTTTAGCTTTTATTAGTTTTTTAGGTTTGATATGTCAGATGCAAGATTTAAGAAAATTGATACAGGTATTACAGTATAAAAACAAAGAACTTTTCTGTAGAAGTTTCATAAAATCTCAAGAAACATGTCCATCAAGGCGAGTTAAAATGAAAATTCCCCCCAAAACTAACAAACACTGAATTAAGCACATTACCTCTTTATTTTTATTTCCTTTTAGTTCACAAAATCATTTCAGTTGGTTTAAATTTTCCTCAAAAGTCCTTTTTTTTATGTTGTTTTTGTTCACCTCTTGTTTCAGTTTAGTTTCCATTAACTACAGTACTGTAATAAAATGCAGCACAAACTGAAATGCATGAAGAAATGCATCACCTGTCACACAGACAGGAAACAAAGTGTGGACGTGCCAGTTGTCATGCTTTTATGACTTGCAGCACAACCGCTAACAAACACTGCCAAATTCTTCAAGCAGAATAAACATGTCAGCAGAGCGAGGCATAAGAATGCAAACGCAACCTCAGGAAACAGCTCGACCTAGACATGCAACTTAATGTGAAAGCTGCTTAATGAAGAGCCTGAAACATGTTCGTGATGTGCAGCAGATGCTTTGTCGCTTACATTCAACATAAGAAGGCAGAGTTGGTTCATAAAAGCTTTTGGAAGTTCCTTACAATTGTTAATAGAGGAAGCTGCGCTGGAAGGAAACCCGTTACTGTAATTATATAGCCACTGCCGAGAAGTCACAGGTACGCCCACATAAGGCATTGTACGTAACATATGCTCTTAGGATAATGACTCCTCAAATGTAAGGCAATGCTGGCATTACCCATGTAACTCACAGCTCCCGTATTATATCTGTCTGCATCTGTCTCCAGGCAGAGTCATTTGTGAACGCAAATTCCTCTGTTATGGCAACACATTAATCAACAGCCCCACCTTGTTTTTGTTTGACAGGCCGAAGGCTAAAACCTTCTTGTCTCAGGAGGAGTTATTTTAAACCACTTTTATCTCCATCGTTGTAAGCGTTTGGTTTAAGCTGAGAGTGCAGATGCTCTATTTATGGTGCATTTATGTCCCTCTGCTAAAAGGAGATCATGCTTACTTGCAAAGCTGCTGCTCTGAATGCAAAAGAGTAACACAGAAATCCATGATATATTAATACATCATGCAGTTTGCCTACAGACATTTCATTTGAACATTTCATTTGTAAACTTTTAACCATTGTGAGCTCATAAAGGTGACAGGCAATAAAAAAAAGTCCTTCTTTAGTTATTGTTAAAGACACCTCTGCTAATCTGGATTGTCAGTGCAAGTAGAGACATTATAACATAATTGGGCTTGTGTCACTTGTGGTTGTGCAAAGCAAAAATCATCACTTGTCGTTTTATGAGGATGGCAACATTGCCTCGTATTGTTGACCCAGATGCTGATAATCACAGATGATTGAGCGCTTGGGTGTGGCTGTTGGTTTGAATGAAAAAAGAAGAAAAAGTCCAGTTACTTAGACAAAGTTTGGATTCAAAGCCACAGATTGGAACTTTTGTGGATTAGTATGAAACTGTCCAGATGATGCTCACATTCCTGCCCTAAGACAGTTTTTTTTAAATGCCAGGTTGGTCCAATCAGAGATGTCCTGGACTCTTAACTATACAGAGGAGTGACACTTTTCATAATCATCGTTATCTTCTCTTGCTGCCAACTTTAAG